GTTCTATGAATTTAAAATGGGTATTCCAAAAAAGGAAATCCGGCCTTGACGAAACGGTCAAAGGTCGGTCAAGGGGTCTTGACGCCTGGTCAGACCCCGTCAGACCCCGTCAAAGACAACACTGCAAGTTTGTCCCGCATGGTTTCTCGGACTTGATATTTTTGAAAATATTCGGGTCAAACAAAGGACATCACTCTGATGATGACCACGGCGTTTGTTGACCACTATTTGCCACACTGCTGGAATTGCAGGTAGCATGTACAAGAGGATTCTGACTAGCCTTTCTCATGCGTACCTGCGGGATAAAGGAATGCGCTGGGCGGTACACTCGCGGCCCTGTTGATTCTGACCAGTGGGGCACTATTGTTTTTATTTATTTATGTAAAAAACAAGAAAGAAAGAAAGAAAGAAAGAAAATCGTATGGCATATGTAGCGTTCAATAATCAAAAAGAACACAACTTGCTGTGAGAACACGTAGGTTGGAGGAAGATGGTGGAAAAGCAACAACTTGAGAGAATTGGCACTGATAAAAACACATTATTTAATCTCAAGCTCTGATGCTTTCCCTCCATGTTCAACCATTCCGTTGTTGCAAAGACCACCTGGCATCGTATCTCATGCGCCTATCATTGCTCAAGTGTCCAGCTTAGACCCTGAAAACATGAAGAAGGCTGGGGGAGAAGGAAATACAAACGTGGACTTCGATGCAATAGTAGTCGAAGCAGGAAGAAACTCGGCTGACCTCCGACAGTGAGCGATTGATCTTTCGATTTAGAGCCCCAGACTTTTCCGGGAGTGGGAAAAATGGATGAACAAATATTACAGCTGTTTGCAGAGCTTAGGGCGCGGTCTGTTTATTTATTTTTTTGAGTCAGTTTCCGACAGGATAGCTATTTTGGACTCAATTCTCAACCGATTGCCCCTAAAGTAGGCTCATTGGATTCGCATCGGAAGTCTGGAGAGCATGGCGACCCCATATTCTAAAGAATATCTTCGAAAATCCAATCGCCAATACTCTTTCCCAGTTTCTCGACGCAACATCTGGAACTCGGGGTAATGGACCAGAGAGCAGCGACCCTGGATGATGTGTTTGAAGCCTCCGCTGGCCGTCAAGTGCATGGGTTGGAGATTTCCCAACAGACGGCGCGCGAGCAAAGACCACCGGGTTTTACGACTGCCGAAGGCCTCTGTTTAAAGAGGAACACAGAGGCCAACTACATGTCCCCGGGCGGAGTTGACCCGCCGCCTCCCCAAGAATGGCGTTTTTCTGGGAGATGAACGTAGGGCGATCGACCGTGGTCTACGAGGACTTGCTGATTCATGCGCTGAACTTGCCTAGATTCAGCTTGCCCTCCACAATCGAGCGAGTGGGCAATGCTACGAAAGGGGGCGTAGGCCGAAAATATCCACACCAAAGCAATGCAAGAAATTCAGTTGTGAAGCGGAATGGCAACATGGACATTCAAGAGCTGACAACGCAAATTCTCCATGTTTGCTGCCTTCTGCGTGACTCGAATCATCATAACAAAAAAGAACACCCCAAAACATAATGTACTCGGGCGGAGTCGAACCGCCGTCGCCCCAACATATCGTTCTTGTTGTTTGATTACTGTGGCGGAGCGATCGACCGTGATCAACGAGGACTTGTTTTTTAGTGAACTGAACGCGTCTGTCTGCAGCAACTCTTGTACTTGGCCGCCTATCCATAACACTGCTGGCTACGCCAGATTTTGTTGTTGTTGGGTTCCGGAAGTACGCACCGGAGCACAACCAGAACCTGACGGCCAATCAATGTCGAAAAAGAAAGTGGTTGAGTACAAGCGCATGTCCTCGAACGGAGTCGACCCGCTGTCGCCGCAAGATATCCGCTCTCATGACATGCTTATCGTCATGGCGGGATCTACCGATCCACGAGGAGTTTTCTGTGGAATAGCCCAGCCTGTATTGCGGACTCAGTTTGACCTCTGTGATCCTACGTCTCTCACCTACGCAGCTACGCAGCCGATAAGTTAAGCGAGGTATCTCGGACCAGATGTCGGCTTTCTCTGTTCTTTGGTCCATCCAAAGTCGCCCGGCAAGGCTATATAGATGGACGGACTAGATTGCAATCCCGCACCCCAAATATATATTTATTCCTCACCCACGCGACATCACTGACGACTCCTCACCGGCCCTGCTTGCACCTACTGAAGACCTGATAGCGCTTGGGGCGCACCTGCACGCACTGATCGAAGAAATGGATATTGAGCGGGCCGCCGGTTCGACTCGGGGTCACACAGGGGGCATCGCCCGTGTCTTATAGATTCATATGCCACCGTGGCTTCTGTCCGGATGAGCCGGAAGTGAGCCGGAAGTTATAAGATAAGATCAGTCTGTTCACGGTCACCTGAGACATTATTGGAGAATGTTGTATGCGTTTTACATCCACAAAGAATGTAAATGCACGGAGAATAAACCACATAGTATTTTTTCAATAGCCTATAGTAGCAATTTGGAAGGCATCAGACAATTTCCGTTTGTCTTGTAGTCAGTTCACTCAGAGGCCACGACGCGACGCGTCGCTTATGTAAGAACACATGTTTTTATTCGGCGTGTCTTCGTTTCTCTTTGTCTCTTTTAAGTCGGATTTCTCTATGGCCTCTACATCTGGACACAATGCTACACCCGGGCTTGATCTGGCCCAAGTGACCCCTCGGGAGCCTCCAATCCTGGTGAACCATCTAGTGCCCGTACCGGTGAGAAGAGAACTGCGGCAGGGAGGGAGTCGCCTCTCGAAGATCCCTCTCCCTCCAAGAAAGGTCCTCGTGGTGCAAAGGCCAAGGCCAAGCCTCTGCCGGTTCATCCTAAAGCGCGGAAAGTCGTCGCGCCGTCCTGTTGGTGTGAATGATTTGTCACCGAGAATGAGCAGATTGAAAGAATGGACGAACAATGTCCAAGGAGCATGGTGAAAAGGGAGAGGTGGGTAGGGTTGGAATGGCCCTTGTTCTTGGAGATGTAAAAGGCTGTCGCATGCCAGCCTCCGCAGCGGTCAGAATGGAAGAACCGAAGTGTTGTCGTTCGTCTTGAACGGCTTGAAGTGGAGTAATCTGGCGGGAGGTCTCAGACGAACTTCAAGGTATTGTAGTATTGCAATGGGATCTTGCTCTAGTGCCGCTTGGATATTAAGTTCAATTGAAGCGTTGTCCGGGTCTTCTTGAAGTTGCCACAGCGAAATGTTGCGGTTGAGCTTTGAAGGTGGGAATGAGTCGTCAGTCTTGCTTGATGCCTGCGAGGTGTTACGGATGGTTTGATCAGATGGCCGCTGAAGCATTGTTTTAATCGCACGGCAGAGGAACATTGCGGGTGATGGGGCGATGACGTTGGACGAAGGGCGCAACAGCCTTGAGCGAAGTTGCAAATGATTGAGAGTTGTTTTGGCCTCCGCCTTGATGTTCGGACTCAGTGGTTGCTGAAGAGTTGCTCGAACGGTCTTCTAATACCGCATTGAAGAGAACAAAGCCGCGGACGGTGACGAAGAGGCGCGGCAACATTAGGGAGCTCTTGCTTTCGAGAACGTATCACAACTCATTGGCGCAGAGGAAGAGAGCGGGTATTGGTGGAGCACAGAGAAACCGACGAAATCCGAGTCGGGGGGAGATGGAGGGGTGTAGCAAAGAAAGAAGCGTAAGGACCCTTCGTTTTGAGGAGATGTTGAGTGGCTGATCGGGGAGGTCGAAAATAAAACGAACGTGCGCCTCTCAAAGCTACTCCTCGATATGGATGGTCAGCCGGTGAAGGTAAAAAATAAGAGGCAGTGGCGCACCGACTCGGACATTTGGAGCCGCGGCACAGTGAATGACTTTTGAGACGTGCGTGGGGTGGGTGAATAGTCGATAGATGGCTCGTCCTTTGGCGCAAAAATCAAGAAAGTCAGGACAGCAAAGGCAGGCAGACCGAGATGGTCAGCGCCCGAAAGCCACGCAGGTGGAACCTCTCCGAGCTAATATGTGATTTGGAGGTCACTGAAAATAGCCATGAGAGAATCAAATCCAAATTTGTGCATGCTCGGAGCCAAGGAGAGGAACGTGGCTGGGAAAACGGGAACGTTGAGAAAAATGTGACAAAAGCAGGTGATGGACAAACAGGTGCAATCTGATTCGAGGCATCTGCTTAAGATACGAGATACAAGGTCCAACAAGGTCACAAGCACCAGCCAAATCTCCACAAGGTCGCAAGATCACAAGTTAAGTCCGGAATTTCACAAGCTCAGAATCACCCTCATTATAAAATTAAGCATGTCTGTCTGAAGCCTTTTTAAACTCCGCTCAGTCTCCGCTGATGCCGTGTACCGCGGCGGCTGTCTGTGCCCCTGTTGGTCGAAAGATTCCTCTGCGCCTTCTGCAATTGTTTTGTTTTGTCTCAACTGTCTTATCACCTATCGGCGTTAGTTTTGCGTAGTCCGGCCATGTTTGTGATTTTTTAAATGAGATTTGACTTTGTGTTCTCAACGGTGTGCGCGGTGGAGTGGGACAAGTGTCCCGTTCTGAAAATGGTGTGCGCGGTGGAGCAGGACGTGTCCCGTTCTGAAACTCGCGGTGTGCACGGGGGAGCGGGACAGGTGTCCCGTTCTGAAAATGGCGGTGTGCGCGTGAAGCGGGACAAGTGTCCCGTTCTGAAAATGGCGGTGTGCGCGGGGGAGCGGGACAAGTGTCCCGTTCTGAAACTCGGGGTGTGCACGGGGGAGCGGGACAAGTGTCCCATTCTGAAAATGGCGGTGTGCGCGGTGGAGCGGGACAAGTGTCCCGTTCTGAAAATGGCAGTGTGCGCAGTGGAGCGGGACATTTGAAACAACCTGTCCCTTTGTGAACAGCAGCAGTCCAATACTTGTAGTAATTACAGCATGCTGATTACCAGGAAGCATAGAGGGGGACAAAAATCGGCAATGGCCATTGACCCACCCAGATTCGAACCGGGGACCTCGCAGACAACCACTGGCAGTATCTCAGTTATACTACGTGGCGGTCTCGTAGCTCAGTGGTAGAGCACACACATTGTGTTCCTTCAAATCCCAGGACTTTTATGTGTGGGTCGTTGGTTCGAATCCGATCCAGGCTGTTTTTTTTTATCTCCACCATTACACTGCTCAGATTTTCGCCAGCGTTCCAATCAAACAAAAAATAATTACCTCTCTCATATGGACCCGACCTGGTTCGAACAGGCGTAAGCTTGCGTAATCCATTCAGCGCCATCTGAAACTGCAAGTGCTTAACCACTCAGCCACGAGACCGATGCATTTGGATGTTAAAAAAGAAGATTCACAATGTGACCCACCCCGCCGCCAACACCTTGCCAGATGCGGTCTCGTAGCTCAGTGGTAGAGCATCGGTGGTTCATTAGCGGTTGCGTAAGCATTACACCGGAGGGTGCATGTTCGATTCATGCCTGGACCATGACAATGAAGGACAGTTGTTTTTTTTTCTTTGGATTGTTTTGGCTTCCCTATGTTTTTTGGCGGTATCAAAAAGTTTTGGCTTCATTTCATTTGACTATATCTTACCTTTCAATCACTATGTCCCGCTTAGCCACACCTGAGGTGGCCGCAGTGGGTGGGACATTGTGTCCCACTACACCTGTCCTGTCACCGCCAATATCTACACCCCATGTCCCGCTTGGCCACACCTAAGGTGGCCGCAGTGGCGGGACATTGTGTCCCGCTAAACATGTCCCGCCACCGCCGATATTTACTCCCCATGTCCCGCTTAGCCACACCTACGGTGGCGGGACATTGTGTCCCGCTAAACATGTCCCGCCACCGCCAATATCTACACCCCATGTCCCGCTTAGCTACACCCATGGTGGCGGGAAATTGTGTCCTGCTAAACATGTCCTGCCACCACCGATATCTACATCCCATGTCCCGCTTAGCCACACCCACGGTGGCGGGACATTGTGTCCTGCTAAGCATGTCCTGCCACTGCCGATATCTAAACCTTGCCAGCCTAAGGTCAAATGTCCCGCTACACATGTGTCCTGCTCCGCCGATAGCTACACCTTATGTCCCGCTTCGCCACACCCAAAGTGGCTGCAGTGGTGGGACATTGTGGCTGACGAGGCACATATGGAGACCACTATGAGGCCGGCGATCAAAATTTGACCCGTTACCTAAAACTCGGACACTTGACTACCGCCGAAAAAACGACGCCATTTGCCCAATTCTTATCCGTTTCTCATGAAATAAAATTTGAAACCAAGGTGAAAGACAAATTGCTGACGATCTATCCACTCAGAATGCATCTAGGACCACTGAATAAAATGATATCTACCGATCTTTCTTTGGTGTCCGAGTTCTAGGGGGGGATAGTAGCGAGACGGGATGGATGCTCTAGTCGTACTGGCTCGTGTCTGCTCCTCCACCCATCCTCTCCGCAATTATGCTATACAACCATCAGATAGAACACCCCCCGCTTCGTCTCTTCACGTTTATTGGGTTATCTAGTTACTTCGTAGCTAGCCGACCACCGCGTCTTAGCACTAAGGGTTTTGCTTGTAGCGGTATAGAAATGCAGATTTAAAAAAAAAAAAATTAAGTCACGGGACTGAGAACATGAATGAGGGGGAGGATAGACGAGATGGTGGGCCCACATAGATTTTGATGTGAGGCAGATGGATTTGATGTGAGGCAGTTTGGACGAACTGCGGCAGATTTTGGAAAACGAGGCACAACGCAATTGTGGGAATGTGCCTCCTTTTTGAGCCAGCTCGGTGGCAGCGGATCACCCGCACTCTCCACCGTAGTAAGTGAGCGCAAATTTCTAACGAAGTCGTGCCGCACACTTGGTTGAGACGTTCTATGCATAGTATTCAACTCAGCGAAAATAACCATCAGCTTGTAAATTCGCGGAGAGTGACAGGTTATTACAATAATCAATTACTAGAAGGACATTTATTATATAACGCAACGTCTATGTAGTTTGCACTCAAGTTGTAAGCGTCTCGCGACAGCTCTATCATCATTCTGTGTTTGCGGCACTACACATACCTTGCAGAGGCTTCCGGCGCTGAGCCCTTGATGGAGAGGGGGGAGACGGCAGGGAGCAGTCAGTATCACTGTTAAATGGAAGGTGCACCACATCAACCATACGACTGAACGCCAAAAGAAGCCGCACCTTAGCATTCGTAGTGCTTGCGGAGCTGGACGGCGAGCGACGTACAAGTGTCATAAAAAACCACCAAATCCCAACCTCTCGAACTTGTCAATGAGTCCCAGGCCCGAAGTACACTGGGTGGCGTTTCCGCCCTTCGGTGCTGATGGAATGGCAGGGAAGAAATCATGGACGCGTCGACATGGTCCATCCGTCAAAAAACCGTATCCTCAAGGCGCCGTGCGATGTTGTTTGTGGCAAAAGAAAGCATGGACGCATCGGGTGCGCGTCGGGAACACATCGAGCGGGTCGAGCGGGTCGTGCGCCTCGAGATGATGGTGGTAAGAAGAGCGGTGGAAAGTTTGCTCGGTCCCACGTGCAACTGGTGATCCATCTCAAGCGAACTTGATCGATTCCTGAAATGGAATGTGCCTCGTTTCTTCAAAGGTGCCTCACATTAATTTTTATCTGCCTCACATTGACTCTATCTGCCTCAGATCAATCTTCATCTGGGCCCGCCGCTTTGTATATCCTCAATGAGGGGGTACTAAGTAGTGCACAAAGAGCATACAATCCACGTAAGATCTACAGACGATATGGGAGATTCGACGCGGTAGTACGAGCTGCGTGGCTTGAGCCCGGCAAGGAAGTACGCGAAGGCAGAACTGGATGCCTCCAGCAGATAATATGGCGGTCTTCATTTCGATTCGCGCAAGCACAGACGTCCATGCTCCTACTGGACTAGGACATTGCATATACAGAACGGCCGCCCCCGTCCTTCAAGTTGTTGTGCTAGCGCGCACCATTTCGTGTTCATGAATCAGAATCATGATGCCTCGGATGCGGACGAAATCTTTGTCGGACAAAGATTCTATTCGTGATATACAAGAATAACAATGGTAGCGCACTTTCGCGGCAAAGCCCACTCTAGCCTACATGAAAATTTAACTGAGTGTAAATATGTTGGAGACTTGGTTGGAGTTGTAACACGACATAAATTTGTCTTAGGCGGCCGGAGGATTTGGCACGTGATTGGCTTCAATGTCAAGCCGAGGGTTCAACTCAGCCCTAAGCTTCTTTGCCCTCTTTCCCCCAGCATCCACAGCGTCCACAGCCTTGCGCTTTCCAGATTTATTTTTGGGGGCTGGATCTTTCTTCTGTGCTTTGCCCCTCTTCGCCTTCTTCCGGGGGTTGCGATGCCTTGCGGAGCATAGCTACTACACCAACTTTTTGGTGCCAATGTAAGGTGGTCTGTTCCTTCCCCCCGGAAGCTCCAGAGGAAAGAGTGGGGTCGCAGGGGATATATGGGCTAAACGCGGCACGAATTCCCGTCTCATGGTTCCAGCCGAGCATTTCGCAGAGCGTCTCCGAGCTGAGATTTTTTTCTTCTTCAACGCCAAGGTCAGTTCCTCCCATAAACGTTTCCTCCCGCCATCGCTCAACGTCGGGGTCCTCATCGACGGGCAGTCAGAGAGAATTCAAAACCTCGGTGGCGACTTCGACCTCGTTCGCACCGCAAACGCGGAGATTGTCAGCGAGTGTAAAGTCGAATTCATCGATCTCCTCCTGAGTTGCCTGGCGGATTTTGCATTTGCCAGCTGGCTGCTTTTGGTCGCACCTAAACGGCGACCATGTTGGACTAGGCATTTTTTTCGGTACCATATCTGCCCAGCATGGATTGATACTACAGTACTACTTACTAACGGCCTTGAGGGTCTCGTTCTGAAGAATCGTAAGGTCGATCTCCCTCTTCTTGTTTTGAGGCCGAACACGGTTGATAAGAACCTCGACCTGTCCATAAGCCCATCCAGACCATTCAATTTTTTTGGCACTATCAGTAAGAAGCTCCCAACGCGCAGCCATCTCAGCATCGTTCGTGTCGTCCCCAAGTTCGTTTTCTTTGAGGGAGTCCTCGTCAGACTTCTTCATAGTCCATCCCAGTTGAGATGTCCACTTGACGAGCGACTTGTTGAGTGCGGTAACCGTCTTCATTTCCAAAGACCCAAGATCAAGGTCGTGGGCCCTCCAGAAGTTTGGCCCCAGCAGAGCTGAATTTGGCAGTGTTTCTGGACTGCATTGCAAGTCTAATAATAATCGTGTTTCACATTTCCTTTCGCACGGCAGAAATTCTGGGAAGTCGAACAAGCACAATCGGTGGAGTTTGGTGAGAAAAGGGATCTACTGCGTGGATTTTTTTTTTTGATGCGCGCTCTATGTTCCGCAAGCGCTGTAATGACTGACTACCTTCCGGACCCGGCACTATACGGCCAGGCTGCCAGACAGAGGCGCCGCGAACGCGGTGCGGGGATTTCGGAATCAAGGAATGGTTCCGATCCCCGTCCTAATTTGAATTGAAACCCTGGCCTCTGACGTGAGGACATACGGAGCCGCCGTGTGAGTGTTTCAATTACAGTCATTTGCGGAACATAGGGCGCAGCCCCGTTTTTTTTCTATTTTTGGTAAGTTTCCACCAGAACAGCCGTCCTGGGCTCAATTCTCAACCATTTCCCTTCGGAGTATGCTCAGTCGATTCGTGCTGAGAATACAGAGGGCCTCGCATCTTTGAATTTCTTGTAGGCAACCCATGTTCAGTTATGGGGCCCGTTTCGTGTGTTTTTGGCTGCCGAAGTGCAAAACACGTCACACGCTGGCTGTAGTCGTCCGATTGGCCCAATTTTTTGATATGATGCATTTGAAGGCATTATGTGACATGGCGGCATGGCAAGTATCTCTTGAGTCACTTACAGCATCGCCGGAGATGGTTTGGCACCCGCGCGTCACCTCGCCGAGGCACCCAGGAATTCGGCGACTCTCACGAGTGTTCCGAGCTTCCATTCCAAATACCGCAGATTCAGGGTCGATGAGCTCAGTCGGCCGATCCCTATTACTCCGAGCTCCTCACAAACAAAATTTGCGATAGTTTTCTCGCACCTTTGGCCCAGACCTGCTGCCCGGCATGTACATCCTCGCCGTTCCCAAACCCGATACCGGTATTTGATGCCCTCTGGAATCCTAATAAGTCCATCATATCAAAAATCTAGGTTATTCAGACCACTACAGCTAGTGTGGGACCAGTCCTGCACTCTGACAGCCAAAAACAGCTGAATCCGACCAATCAAATTGTCTCGAGGTGTTTCAAAAAAATCCCCAGACGCCATGCCCTCCGGAATTCTTGTGCGAATCGAATGAGCCTATTCGCGGACTCTGAGCAGGCTCTTGTGAATGAACGGCAGGACACCTCCTCCAACGATAGTAGCACGTACGAGAGTGTCGAGCTCCTCGTCGCCGCGGATGGCCAATTGCAAGTG